GGTGTATAAAACTTTCCATGACGCCCATAAAACCCTAAAAACCGTTATCTATAACGTTATGAAATTGAGCATAACTGAACTGATACGAGGAATGTAATATAGGGATGGGATGGGAGGGGGGCGGGGCTAGGTGACAAGCGTGTTACCGAATTGAGGGTCTATACATAGTAGGGCCACTTGAGCTTTGCACACATACAGCACCTGCTCCATAAAATACCGCTATAAAATTAAAATGATATACAAATCGTATCAGATGTGGAGAGACCGACCGACCGAACATACATAAAATTTTGCATTTGGCTGCTACTTATGTAATCGCTTGATCAGCTGTTTAGATCTAGACATCCACTCTCTCTCTATCTGTCTCGAGATTGTCTCTTTGTTTTGGCGAGCGTACGAGTGTGTGTGTGCGCCCCAAAGGGTCGTCGCTGGCCGAGGCATTACGTAAACATCTACTAAACCTCGCGTCACGTACAACATTTGTGACGTATTAGCAGACGGGCGATAAAAGATTTCGCGTGTACGCCATTTCAACGTTTCAACGGTGAAATGCTTGTTTGGGTGGGGAGAGGTGAAACAAAAAACCCAATGTATTTTTGTTCCTATCTGTCGTCTTTTCTGGTTAGGGGGCTTTGCTGTAAATTAGTATTATTCAATTCGACAAAAACCGTATTTAGCATAGCATTTTCAGCAATTATTTATAGCAGAGAGAGAGAAAAGTAAAGCATTCAAAATAAGAAAGAGATTCGCCCCACACTTCAGCTCCTCACTTTGTGTGTGTTGTTCCGCTTTTTGCTAATGAACGAACCCACGTCAGTGCGCGCGTTTTTTGGCACTCTGCCCGGGCCGGGACCCGAACATGGGTTAAGAGGAGGGTGGAGAAAAGAGGCGGAGACCAGGCAGAAGAAGAGAAGTAAGAATATCACACAGGCAGTAGAAAAGGAAGAGGCACAGCACAGCGCCATCTCAATCCTCAGGCAATCCTCTCGCGAACGCAGATTGCAGATGGATTACTCAACGATTCAGGCAACGAGAGAGAGAGAGAGAGAGAGAGAGAGAGTGAAACACCCCCAGAGAGGCGGCAGAGTAAGAGAAACGAGACTGACACACAAAAGGAGGCTCGTCCTGGAAGGCTCGTTCTCGTTTCTCGTTCTCCTTTCCATGTGCGTGACTATTTATTGATTTTCCAATTATCAATTTTCTGCTCTAGTTTTTTGTTGCTACTGCTGGGCCATTGCATAATCCATGCTGCCGCCCCAAAACGCACACACCAACAGACTTGACTCTCTCATGCAAATACTTGGGTGCATTGCCAGTGGGCGGCGAATGGGTGGGATTGGCAGCCTCTTCTTTAAGGTCATTCGGCGGACAATGCTTCTTGGCTCTCTGGTTTTCAGTGGAGCATTTTTTGTTGTTGTTTTTTTTTTTGGCAACAACAACACGTGACACTCTTGGAAAACAAAGCGACGCTATGAGAGAGCCAGTCAGAAAGAACGAACCGAGAGAGCGAGTGAGAGGAATAAAAGAGTGCCCAGAGAGAGTGGCGGCTACCTGCGACTTGTGGCCTGTCTTCTGCCAAAGCATGTTTGTTCGAGGTGAGGCATTCCCCGAAAAACAAAAACATTTTTTTTTTGTTTTTAATGTAAGCAAGACAGCCGAATGTGGTTACAGTTACATGAAAACAAAAGACCTACCGCCCCACCTTATATGAATACACCTTTCCTTTTGCCTCTTGTTGTACCCTCAAGAACGAGAGAGCGTGCATTTGAGAGAGACAGCGAGTAAGGGACTGGTCTGGGGAGAGAGCATTGCCAACGCTGTAACATTACAAGAACAAGGCCGCATGGTGCTTTTGGGCCAGGTCTGGTTTCCAAAGCCACGCTTATGGAAATTTCCCAAAAATTAAGAAGAAATACGAAAGGCAACGGGAGATGCGCGACCGGGTTCGTTAAACCCGAAAAAAGCAAAGAAAGTTTTATTTATATAAAACAAGAAATACGCATTTGCCAAAATAGCCCCAAAGCGAATCTTTTCGCCAGTCCCCCACCCCGCCCCGCCCACCTCTACGGAGATTATGTAATGTGTTATATATGGCAAAACACTCGACAGGATGGCCTGGCCAGCGTGGAAAGGCACACACTACACACTTATCAGGGCACAATAAAATAAAAGTTTCTTAATCGCAAGCACATGGCGGAATCTTTTTTTTTTTCGTGACGTGTAGAGTATGCGGTGGTGAGTGCTGGTGTGTGCGTGGGAGTAAAATAAAGTGAGAGAGGGGAGGAGAGAGGATAACAGCGAAACTAAACTGAATGAACCGCTTCATTGCGGGGATGGGGATGAGTAAACGGAACTGGAAAGTGAAACTGGAACAGGAACCAGGAACGGTACTACTCACCTGTGCCTCGACCAATTTACGTGCGGAAATGCGATAGAGCGACATGATCAATTCAACGGTTATGTATGAAGAATGCTGTTGCTCTTTAGAGAGAAAAAGATAGAGAGAGAGAGGGGAGAAAAAACACGTTCGCCTTTAGAAAAGATAGCAAATTTTCCACTAACACACACAAACACTGAAAAAAATTGCTTTCCCCCAGTGAAGAATATAGCTTTTAGAAATGTTATTTTTTTTTTTTAATTTACTTTTGGTGCTTCTCTCCCTTCAGCCGCGGGGCAACTGAAATGGCCCGCCAAGCAATGTCGCTTCATTCGCGTCTGCTCCGGTCTGGTCTAGGTTGGCAGCACCACCAGCGTGACACCCACCCCCACAAGCCAGATGTGGCGCGAACATTTGACTCACCTGCAGGGAGTCAGGCCCTCCGTCCCGTGCCGCTTGTGGCTTGGCCACAGCCTGGACGACAGTCTTTTCTTGCACCTCCTCTTCCAGGGGGGCACGCAAGATTTCGCGCAGCAAATTCTTGGCATCCCGGACCGATTTCTTGGCCAATGTGCGGCATTGTAGGTGTAGGACAACGTCTGGAGTCAAGCACCGGGAAAAGTACATTCTAAGGGTTTCTCTTATCAAAAAACTGGTGGCACAAATAATATATGTTTTATGAATTGTTTGCACATTGATTAATGACTTATTAATAAACGAACACAATTAGAAACTAAATTTTTAACCTGTGCCTGTTGGAATTCGTACGCAAGGAGCAAAAAATGAGTTGGCAGCTTTCTCGAAACAGCTGTGCATATACCTAGCGATGGGGGCTGCGATGTATCGATATGATCTGGCGACTGACATAATTACTTTATTTTCCCGACAACTGTAGCTCTTTGCTAAGGAAATCAAAAATCTTAAACATTTCAGACCGAACGTGAAGATTTGTATTCTCAAAAACACGAAACATTTGCATTTTGCCCCCAGCGATAGTCGATAGCGGGCCGAAAATCACGTAGTCGATAGGGCCATCGGTTGTGGGCCAGCCCTAGTGTTATGCAAAACGCTTCTTGACATTTTTGACGGCCGATTTCCTATTTTTTCAATACAATTTTTATAGCGTAAGTTATGGATAATTCATCTAATCACATTTAATAACCGCTTGTGCCCCACAGCAGCAGTCACCATGGCCCCGGCCGTGCCACAAGTGCCCCCTAAGCAGGACCTGCCTCCAGCCGGTGGCTACAAGAAGATTCCCTTTGCTCGTGTGCTTCCCAAGAGCTATTTCACAGGTGAGTGGGGTCCACGTCCTCGTCACCGTACTCTCCTTTCCTCCTCCGTTACTATGTGCATTCGCTGACCTTTGCTCCCGTGGCAGGCTTCACCATGATTGGCACCTATGTGGCCGTCACCACCGTCGGTCTAGGAATCTACTATCTGACGGCCAAGAAGGTTAAACGCGACGAGATCGAGATGCGTTCGGCCCAGAATGTCATCTTTCCGATCCTGATTGCCGAGCGCGATCGTGAGTTCCTGCGCCAGTTGCGTCGCAACCGGGACGAGGAGGCCGAGCTAATGAAGAATGTGCCCGGCTGGGAGGTGGGCACCTGGTACGGTGAGCCCGTCTTCAAGACCCTGCCCGAGGACACTCTGGTAACGCCCATCTTCAAGGAGTTCTATGCCCATGCCGACTGGAAGTCGTACGCCAAGCGTGCCCACATCAAGCTCTGGTCGTAAGCCAACGGGAAGAACGGAGCCGCAGCAGCGTACTGCTACTTAGTTAATGCATATTGTGAAGCTTTTTTGTTTATAGAATTGCCTAAGCGCGCCTGCTCATTGCACTCAATTACATGTCGAGAGATTGATTGAAATGGGGAAAAAAACGAAACGAATCTTCTGCAGATTGCACTGCATTTCTGGATGGGGGTGAGGGTGTTGGCCTGGGGTTACCAGATGGACAGTTGGTCGTCGCCGCCTTGGTGTCTCGGTGTTGCCGTTCGGTTGGGAAAACGCCTGCTCCAGTGTTGGCGGTCGATGATGCTGTGGAAAGTCCCCAAATACCCCCAGCCATGGTATCCAAAATTCAATATTTTTGTTTGTTTGTGGATTTTCCTCTGTGGTTTGGCTTTATTGAGTTTCAACATCAATTTGACGCACGTTTGTTGGGATTTATCTCACAATAGCGGGTGGGTGTCCTCTAAGCATTACGGTTTAAATAGTGCAAATTATAAAGTAATATAATTTTTAATAAGGTAAGTAATATAATAAGTAATACTTAAGCTAAACATTGACCGGACAACTAACTAGAGTGATGGCTGATGTTTTTCAACATGTTCAATGCCTCTCCGTTTCCGTCTCTCATCAACAAATCGAATTCTTCTTTTGCTTATAGTTTTTAGAATTTGATAAACAAAAAGGGGTGTTTATTTTTTTGTTTTGTTTCTTTAAAATTATAAATATTTCTACGTAAGGGATGCCTTTCATAACGATTTTCCTTACTCTTTCTTTCCTTTTCAACAAATAATAATTTTTAGACTTAAAATGTTTAAAATGATTTTGGATTAGAAATAATGTTCCACAATAAATCAATAGAAAAAAAAAAAACATGTATTTAAATATATCTATATATATATATATATGAAACTCAAAATTGTTTGGACTCTCTCTCGTTCATTTGTATTTATTCAGACCCCTCCTGCCCGAAACGATTAGGAAATAAAAACGAAAATTTTACAAAAATTAATAAGGATTTGATTGTCCCGCCTGGTGGGGCGAGACAGATCCATCCATCATTCGCCTGCTAATTGCTACTCCTCTTCTTGCTCTTGCTTTTGCTTCTGACTCACATTAAAGCCATCATCATCATCATCTTCGTCGTCGTCGTTTTGGTCGTTCTTGCTAGCGTCCTGTTTGATAACAACGTAATGCATTGGTGGAACCATCAGGGGATCCACCTCGAACTGCAGCTGATCATCTTCATTCCGGCTATTCAGCTGGTGTCGAGGGTGCCGTCGCCTACGGTTCGCCGGCCGCCAATTGTCATCACGTTGCTGCCACCTCTACTTCATGTCACGCCGACGCTTGATGCTGCCATCGCAGGTGGGTAAATGGCGCTGAAGGAAGCCCTCAAAGACGAACTTGCGGCCGCAGCGATCGCAAGTGAATTCACGCTTCTCCTCCACCAGCTGCTTGTGCTGGCGCAGGGCCTCTGCATTCGAGTACTTATCGCGACAGCCGTCGCAGGCATAGCGCCGCTTCACCTGGCCCACATCGAACACCACGGTGAAGTCCTCGTTGCAAAAGGAGCAATTGAATTCCTTCACGACCACCTTCTTGCCGCCATGCTGGGCGGCCAGGGCCACGGCCTCGGCCTCCAGCTTGTCCTGATGCTTGTGCGACTCCATGTGGGCGCTGAACTTCTGCTGATCGATGAATTTGCGATAGCAACGGGTGCAGCGGAATGGCTGCTCCCCGGTATGCCGCATCATGTGCTCCTTTAGGTAGGCCACCGAATTGAAGACCTTGCTGCAGACGGAACACTTGCGGTCCTCGGCCGAGACATCGTTGCGCTGCCGTAGGCAGGCGCGCATATGCAGCTTCAGGGAGCCGGCAGCGCTGTAGCAGTTGCCACAGTTGGGACAGTAGAAGGTCTTGCTGCGTCCATCCCCCTCCAGGCTGTGGTCAATGGTGCCCTCGAACACAATGGAGCCGACACCCTCCTCGTCCTCCTCCTCGAGGCCTTCGTGTTCGATGCCCAGAATCTCCTCCCCCTCGTTCTCCTCATCGTGATCGACATCCTCCTCCAGGTCCTCGTCATCGTCCTCACCCTCGCCCTCACCATCATCGTCGTGGTGGCCGCTGCCGCGAATGCTGGGTACAATGCGGAGAATGGTGTGCGTGCCATCGCCCTGCTCGATAGTCTCCACCTCCTCGACGGTGCTGTTCTCCACCAATTGCTGCAGCGTCACCGCATGCCCGTTCTCATCGATAATCACCTCCTGGCGATCGTCCATTGTGATCACCTCCGTCGCCTCGGCATCGTCCTCCTCAGTGGTCGTCGTGTAGGCATATGTGTAATGTGGTGCATCGCCACTCTCGCCATCGTCCGATTCCGTTTGTATGAGCACGGGCACAATCTCCTCTTTGATGACAGCGGGGCTGGAGCTGGACAGGCTCTGGTACTTGCGCTTCGAGGTCATTTTGTTGTTCGGCGGTGCCCTTTTCTTGTCTCTGTGTGCTGAGTGCTGTGTGCTGTGTGTGGCGTGGCGTGTGTGTGGCGTCAGCGCCTCCTCTCCACCCTCGTTCGCAACGACAGAGCCACACGAGTGAATGCGCCTTATGATGCAGTTGACCCAGCGATTTTCTGCCGGGTTTCTTTTGGCGCGTACTGCGATTGATAAATTTTTTTCTTACAATAGTCAACACTTATTTTTCGCGAGATTGGGTAGTTTTTTCCTTCTTTCCGACATTTATCAATTGTGGCAACTTCGTACCCAAGATGGTGGACATGCCTAGTCTGGCCGAATGTCTGGTGGTATTTTTTTCGGTCATTTTTAGTGCGTTTTCATTTTTCCATCGATCTGGCCATCGAGCTCTGACAAATGGCAGCCCTGTTGGCCGGCTGGCGTTCGGGCGGCTCAACAGCTACGTAGCGGGTGCGTCACTATGAGCGGTTTGATTCAAATTTAAAGTAAAATTTTGATTTATTTGCTGGTGGCCCCGTAAATATATCACAAATTAATGTGGCTATGAGTTTGTAATAAATAAATAACTGAACTTGATTGATTTTATGCATATTTAATGATTTGAACTGCAGATCTTTCCAACCAGCCAGTGCTGCCCCTTAATACAAAGAGCTTCTGATGGAAGCTTTGCAACACTGGCGTGGCATTTATTATAAATAATTAGATGCATTTTTGGTGATTTTGCAGTTTGTATGGCAGCGCATCTTGTATAAACGTGCGATCCACATGAGACATGCCTCTGCCCTGCCCTACGGCTCCCAGAGATATTCAGATGCCTTTTGGACTATTTTCGCTGCTGCTTTTGTCACGTAGCCAAAACCGTTTTGGGGCTGGTGGGTGGGTGGGTTGTGTGGGAAATGTTTTTATCGGCCATTAAAGAAATTCGCCAGCGCCTCACATCTATAAATAGTGCCCAGTACTTCGGATTGGCTGCAATTTAGATGCAGTTTGCCTTTGTTTACCCCACAAGTGTTTTTTTGTTGTTTGTTGCATATTGTTTTTGTGGCATTCATTAACAGGCGTCACTTCTTTGGACCCGCAGAGAACCTTGAACCAATTATCGACGATTGACAACGACTGATGAACGACAACATTCATCCCACATCCCACATCCCATCCCATCCCATGCCATCCCAAAATGTAGAAATGTAGAAAGAACTTCTGGGTTGAGTCAGCAAACGAATTTGCAAGTTGGCATGGAAAATTTTGTGTCGATCGGGAAAGGTAATGACCTCGCCAATGGGATGGGGTTACGTATGCATATAGGGGAAATCTATCGCTCTCTCTCTCGCTCTCACCCTGCCTGTCTAGCGTCATCACAACGCGCCGTTAGATAGCAAACCAAATATGTACTGTAAATCCACAAGAGTTTTGCTGCCGTCAGATGGGTGCAGAAGAGTAGGATCGAAAGTCAAGTATAACTTGAGAGTGAGAACGTGTCCCATAATATGTCACTGAGAAGTATTATCAAACGGGCACGTTTGTCCGTTCCCTAGATGAATCAATGAATGAATGGAAATTGCCAATGAAATCGACAAATACATCTGCAAATACATACATATATATATATGTGTGTATGTATAATCGTAACTATTTTACTGGAACCTAAAACGTAGAATACGAATTTAAATTTTAAGAAATTTTATCACTAATTCTAGCCATGACAATAACATTAAACAATTATCTATCAGAGATGCTTCATCTTTAAGGCGACGTAATAACTTTGTTTTTGGGGGCTGGATTCATTTTTTCGGTCTATTGAATTGGCTTCATATAAAACTATTACATAGTACTACTATCTGTGCATAGTTTTTCAACCGTAGTTCAATACGGTTGAAATAATAATCCAACCCGTATAATATTCTCGATTCTCGCCACGCATTGACGTCGCCTTGCAGGCAATTTCACAATTTCTATGATCATCATACACTTGATGAGGGTGGTGGGAACGGAATCATGTGTGTAATAGAGCCAAAACCAGGCACTTACATAAGCCCTTCGGCGTGACATCGAACCCCATGCCAGATGCCCCCAACTCCCCACCAACAACCATCCAAAGTTTCTGGAATCTTCTTCTTTAGTTTCGATTAGAATTTCAATGCTGAATGCAACCAAAATGCTACTACGTCGAACGGTTATGTACGTGCCAGACTGAATGGATGTCTATGTATCTATCGAATGGAAAACTCTTTCTTTTCTCCATCTGGGGTTACGATCAGCCCCGTTTTGTTGGGGAAAATCCCTGTGGTTGGCATGCATCGGCATGCAGGTGTCTGCATTTTGGTGTCAGGGCACGTCACCTGTAGCCACCGTTTAACCCACTCCTACATATGTATGTATGTATGTACATATCGTATGCTCCATTTCGGTGGTGCAGTTCTTATCGATCAAATTCCCGTTTCTCCGTATGGAACAGCTGTTGGGGTAGGGCCTGGTCGGGGCCGGCAGCAAGGGGGGCAGACACGCAATCAAAAGACACTCATAAGAGAGTGGAATTTTCCATTGCAGTTTTTCGTGCAAATGTTGTGTGCCGTCTTTAACCCCACAATGGATAACCAATTGTACCCTAGTTAGTTTTGTATAGATTTTTTTCGTTTTCGTTTTTTTAATACAAATGGAAAAGTATTATGCCTCCAAATGGCTGTAAATTATAGCGTTACACAGCGTGGAATGTTTTAATTTATTGCCACAGTACAAACAAATACAAAAATTGGTGCAATTGGGAGCTTCGTTTTGTGATTTTCACTTTTGGCACACTTATAATTTGCAGTTACGTACCAGAACGACCCCATGGGCATGCATGGGTTTAATTGCAGTCTCTCCGCCGCTCGCCAACTCGTCCCTCTCCCTTACCCACCAACGAACATTAATGCTAATGGCATGTGAATGAATGAACAAGGCGGGGGGATGCGAGGCAGAGAAAGAGCGCTCACCCACTGACTCTCCTCACCTCCTATTCACGGCTCACACTCGCTCACTCACGTCAAATGAAATTGCAGCGGCCGACAGCGGCGGCGACATCGTCAGCGTTGTTCTCATTGATTTTGCTTTGTTCTCGTAAATTTTGCTTTTTATGCTGATGTTGTTGCTGTTGTAATTCCAAATTGCCAACAGAAAGAAGGAATGAGAAGACAGATGAGTGTAGAAAATGACGAGCAGAAAGAGGATTGGGTAGAAAGACGTAGAAGGAGACTGGAGTGCAGTAGTGGGAGAGAGTAAATGAATGCACTTAAAGAGCGGTGCTGAGCGAGAAAGAGATTGCAAGGTGTAGCTATGCCGGGTGTGGAGTTCCAGTTCCCTCTCTCTCTCTCTCTATCTCACTATCATAGTGTCAGGCGGTGCCAACCAAACGTTGAGGGAATTCCAATGCCTCACCTTGCATTAATATATAATTCGAAGACGCCAGGGAGAGACTAAGGAGAGAGCGTAACTGAGTAGGTAAAGCAAAGCGAGTCGATTGCATTGCATGTTAAGTTTATCGTTTATTTTAATGTGGACTTTTTCAGCTTAATGATATGCACAGGACTGACGAAAAAAAAAAAAACAAAAACAACAAGAAAAGAAGGCCAACTTCGGTGGGGCCGAAGCTTTTGATACCCTTGAAGATCGATTATTCCTTGATCGTTCTTAGAAATTATTTTGGATGTGTGCGTAAAGTTTTAACTTTAAATTTCAAGCACATCTCATAGAAACCGAAAGACGGACATCTGATCGAATGGAATGCGCGTAATACTCTCTGCAAGGGTATGCAAAACTATAAAATAAATTAAGTGCCTGGTCTTCCAACCGAACCCCGGTCGAACCTCTGCCTTATGACTACTACTACGACAACGACGACGACGACGACTACGAGCGATTGACCACAACGGTGTCCACTGTTTCAGCGGGTGTACCTGTACCTGTGCTGCCATTACCGTTGGCACTCCCGTTAGCGCTCCCATTGCCATTCTGTACCGGTGGCGGCTCTATGGGGGGCAGGCCCACAAGCTTCTCGCTCTCCCGCCAGAGCCAATCGGCGGTGTCCGTGTTGCGTGCCCAGGGAACCAGGGGAAAGCGCATGCTGTCCGAATAGTAGCCGCCGGTAGAGCCCTCCAACGACGGGTCCAGGGCCAGGCGCAGCGTGGTCTGGGCGCCGGCCTTGGGGGTCTTGAAGAAGTACAGCGAGACGACCTGCAGGGCGCTCTTCATCCAGGCGGGGCCGGCAAAGTGGCGGTTCAGTTCCGTGCGGACCACGCCCGGGTGGCAGCAGTTGACCGTCACCCCGGTGCCGTGTAGCAGGGCCGACAGCTTGCGGGTGAAGAGGATATTGGCCAGCTTCGACTGGCTGTAGGCTCCAAAGAACTTGCCGTAATTGCGTTCGCTCATGAGGTCCTCGCGATGGATGCGTCCAAAGAGATGAGCTGCCGAGCTGACCACCACGATCCGGCTGGGCGTGGCCTGCTTGAGCCGGTCGAGCAGCAGGTTGGTGAGCAGAAAGTGGCCCAAATGGTTGACGCCCAGCTGCTGCTCGTAGCCGTCGGCGGTGAGGGAGCGGGGACAGGCCATAATGCCGGCGTTGTTGATCAGCAGATCCAGGCGCGACTCCTCCGCCTTGAAGCGGGTCACAAAGTTGCGAACGGACTCCAGGGAGCCGAGATCCAGGCTGCGATTGAATAGCTGCTGGTTCTGGGTGCGGTCCATAATCTCGATGCGGGCCGCCTCACAGCGTCCCGGGTCGCGGCAGGCCATATACACCTTGGCCCCCCTTCGGGCCAGCTCCAGTACCGTCTCCTTGCCGATGCCCGTGTTGCAGCCGGTGACGATCACCACCTTGCCGTCGATGCGATTCGCCTTGCGGTAGGCTGGGCCCAGGATGCACTTGCGCAGCAGCCACATCACGAACAGTACACAGATCCCGATCAGCAGCAGGAGCACGAACCACGCCCAGAATCCTCGAAAGCAGAGCGTCTTCTCCACCGCCTCTGCGGTTGGATCGAAGCCGGCTGGCAGTGCTGTTGTCCCTGTTCCTCCAATGGGTGTGACAGCCTCCGACATCGCTGGCTGTGTATGCGAGTGTTTTTCTGTGTGTGTGTGTGTGTGCTTCTATCTTTGTGTGTGTGTGAGAAAGATAGAGGGGGAAAAAGAAAGAAAAGAAAGTTCAATTGTTGTTTTGGTTGGGGGGCATGGTTGTGGTTGTGGTTCTGAAGTGGATCATTTGTGGATCGTGTGTACTTTGCTTGGTGATAGAGGCAGTGGAATAATCAGTAATTATCGATTGGTAGTACGATTTAATTGTGGGTTAAAGTTTACATGAAAAATAAACTCAGTAATTTACAAATAACTTTTCAAGCCAAAGAATTGCAAACTTTATTTATCGAAGCTGCGTCACTATATCGATTACTGATCGATTGAATTTTAAAACTCAATAACATTTATAGGGGTTTTACTTGTATTTATATAGATTTTAGTAGTATCTGGAAGCCTGAAGCAAGGTTTTAGCTCTTGTCTAATGTTCGATCGAATATTAAATTTGAAAGTCAGGTTCTACTTTTAAGACCAACTGGACAATACGGCGTATTAGACTTTGAATGAAAACATTTCGGGTTTCGTTTTTCCCTCAATTATAATTATAATTAGTTGCCCCAATTATTGATTGTCGGTCAGCACAGCGCCATTCAAAATTCCACCATACCCATTTCGACCCCACTTTCATTGACATATTCGACATTCTTGTGCGGGAAATTACTCAACTTTCTTTTGAGTACCACACCACAACACACGACACACTGCCAACTTGTCCACTGGTGCTGTTGCTTTCGTGACTTACCGAATATTTGATATATGTATTCACTGCAGATACCGCCTGGGACTGGAGACAATGATGGGAACACAGATCCAATTCAACTGAGACTTTGGGCCAACACTATTCTCACTCAGGTGATCGGGTTGGCAATTTCGCACATTTCCACTTTCGTTTGCTCGATCGATTAGGAAGTGGCTCCGCTCCGAAGCGCCTCTTCTGTTTATGTTTATGGGTTAGTGGTGTGCCTCTTCTTGGTCTTTGCGTCCAAACGACTAGCGTGATCTTAGCCAACTGAATGTAGGCTCCAATTGTAAGCTGACGGCTCAGTCAGAGCCGCTAACACGTCAGAAAATAACCTGAAAATAAGTGTTTTTTTTTTTTTGTTCGAGGCGGTTTGCCTCGTCCGACACTGTCTGCTGTTATTAACATGCCGCTGTCTCTGCTGCTGCGGCTGCGGCTGTTGCTGTTGCTGCTGCTGCTGCCGCTGCATATGCCGCAGCTGCGGGGCCTGGCCTTAAAGTCGAGTCGTTGTTGTAGTGTTTCTCTTCAACTTTCACTTTGTTCAATTTTTTGTATACCCTTTTGCAGAGGAATATTCTAATGTTCGAGCCACACAACAATGGGAGCGTGTTTTCAAGCCCATAAAGTGATGCTTAAATATGCATGGTTATTCTAATGATGATCAGTATTCTGCGGATGTTCCTCTGAGCCCTTTTTTATTGCTGAACATATCGAACCCTTTTTGCGAAATGTTCGTAAGCGACATGGAACGGACACGGATAACTATCGGAACCGCAGGGACGATCCTTTTCCTGAACTATATGTATATTGCTCAAAATACTTGGCCAAATTAGATCATTAAATCAGAAAGTGACTAACATTGAAACGATCGATATGCAAGGGTATCAAATGCTTCGCCTTTCCTCTTGTTACCTCCATTGCTGCGTCTGCCTTTCTTGCATTCAGCTTTGCTAACTGCTTCTGTTCACGTTTGTTTTGCTCACTCATTCGCGCAGCGGAGCACACTGCCGACTGCCTGTTTTTGTGGCTTCTTTCCCCGGCCACTCGCCTACTCATAATGAGGCCATTTCAAATTCGCCTCACGATGTTTTACGTCTCTCACCAAAGAGAGCATCAGTCAGTCGGTCGAGTCACCTGATTTTCGTGCCGTGCTGCTGAGAGATCAAGACCCCACCACAGGGGTCGCGCGCACCTGTCGAGGATCACAGAGGTGCCTGGCAGCGTTGGCCGGGCTGGCCCCTTGGCTGACAAGGCCAAGACTATGAAAAATTCATTCGCACCGGCTGGTTATGACTTGGACTTGGACTTGCACTTTGCTTTCAAGTCTTAACAGGCGTCGTGTTCGCGCCTCCAGCCCCGTAATTTGGGCGAAATCCGTCGAGCAACACGCACAAAAATCGATGGAGAAAAGCACAAAACACAACAACAAAAATATACCAACAAAAAAAAGCGGATAATGACGACAGAGCAGAGTTGAATGTCCTTGACTCGGGCCGAAAACCAAGTCGCAGGGGTCACAGGAGTTGAGGGATTGCGGTGCCTTTTTTTGGGTGGCTGACGTGCGTTTTCACATGCCAAACATCAGCCAGGAAGAGAGAGAGAAACACAGTGAGAGAGAGTGAGAGAGAGAGAGAGAAACGATAGAACATACCAGAGAGAGGCAGGCAAATTCATAGTGCATTAATCCAAAGGTAAGGCACTCCCCAAACAGACACAGAAACAAAAACTAAATAGACAAGAGCAAATGACACAAACCGATTATAGTAACAAAGTATATATTCAGCACAATAAAATACGCGGGTACACCCTACCTTATATTAGCATACCTTCGGCACATACAGGGTCGGAGCGCAGGAGTTGGCCCAAAAAAAAAGGTTAGAGAGCGATGGTAGGGCCGAGAGAGTGCGCAACTTTGGACTAGGTCAGGACAACGCGTCGTCAGACGCTGGTTTCCCCACTGTTAAATCGATGAGCAGAATCAGCCACCCCAAGGATACCCTGGTCCTTTTATATGAGACTTTTTGTTTATTTTTTTTGGGAATTTTCCACTGCCGGGCCACAAGACGGCCCTGAACGACAACGACGACCCTCCTAGCGGTATGCAATGACGAGTTGGTTCTAGAAGGTTTCGTTTTGTTTTCGTGGCACAAGCATTTAAGATGGTCTCAGACGAAACCGACATCATTAGCTGTGCATATTCGAGAGAAATGTGCTTCAACTCTAGTCAAATTTATACTGAAATTCCTGAAAGTATTTTGGATTTGATTTTCATTTGGCGGATCTGACACTGCCTCTGGCACTGCTCCACTGAGAGGAGTGCCCAACATTGAAGCGTTTTCGCCAGCAACTACTTCAAGTGACCGCAGGAGAAGCAGCATGCGGCTGCTGCACTACAACTTTGCAAACTAATTGCTGGAAATTGCCACAGTTTAAGAGTTTCGTCCTGTCTTGGTACTCGTGGAGATGCTTCAAGGAGACGATCGATGCCAAAAAAGGTTTCAGAATATAATGACCATAATTCAAGCATTTATTTCTACATTCTGTGGCGGATTTGTGGTGCACAATCCGCTTCCAGCGCGCTATATGCTTTGACATTATATTTCGCTCCACTTTGATGCGCAGCTTCCGCTTTGTTCACGATACAGCAACATCCTTTTATCCTCTTAGCGAGTCGGCGGATGCTGCATTCAACTGCTAATCGCATTTGGATGCTATTAGCATCCGCCCGCCACCCCTGCTTTACCTTTTTGGCTTCACCTGCGACACGGGGGGCTTAGCTGTGTCAAAGAAATTGTGCAAACTTTGCTCTTAGCTTGCAACCAAAGTGCCTACGCCTGACGTAAATGCCGAGTGGGTGGGGTGTAGGACACATAATTGGGGTGCATAATTGCGTTATATAAGCGCATGGGTGGATGAGATTAGATGAGAGACTGACCTTGATCTGCGAGCGAATAATCAGTGGAAGCGCTGCCAAAAACAGCCCAAAAGAACCCGAACACGAGAAGAGTAGTAGGTACTGCACTGCGAGTAAACAACTTGTCACAACACGCGCAGTAGGCAACTGTACCGCTGTAGCACACATCGCCTCTTTCTTATATGAAACGCCTACCTGCAGCAGAACAATAAAAAATCACATTCCAGAATCTGTGCAACTGACCAGCCGCAAGCATTAATCAAACATTAATCTATTGGAAAGAGAGGAATGAGGGAATGAGAGCTTCATCCATTGAAAGAGAGGGAATAAGATCTGTTTAGTCCATTGAAAGAGAGGGGATTACACAGGCACAGAGATAATGAAAGAGCGGGCTAGAGTCGAAGATTGAGTTTGTGCGAGGACAAGGTATGTTAAATAAAAGGGTGCAACATTTCGAAACTTTCGTAAAGAAAGAGCAGCCGCTCCCACCCCGCACAACTTAAAAAGTCTGGAAATGGAGGAAGGCCACTCTTGAGGCCGTGGCATTGCCTCCCAAAAGAGGATCGAACTGGGAATTGTTCAATAACTGTTCAATTTAGCAGCAACTTGAGTGCGGCACGCGCGAATCCAAACCAGACTGGGAGAGCATAAACAATGTGCGAGTCGGTGGGTGCGGGGGGCGATGGTGATTCCAATAAAAACCTGTTGCCTCTCATAACAGCATAAGAGAACACAGAGAGCCCCCTTGCCCTTGCCCCCTCTAGCGTTTTCTGCTCCCGATGACCAATCAAGCTCTAAAGACAAAAAAACCAAAGCCAAATACAAACAGAAAGAGAAAAAGAGAACAATAGCAAGAGAAGAAGCGGCCAGAAACGAACCAGATGAAACAACAGCGCAACAACAGCAACAATCTGAGAGAGGCAGAGGAGAACAAAGAGCAGGAGCGGAACGGAATAGAACAGCCAATGCACAAAACAAAAGTCAGAAAGAGGAGAGGAATCAGAAGACCCAACGAATTACTAGAGCAGGAAATCAAATGTAGGCTAGCTCTTATTGGTCCATGCATTTTGATACCCTTGATCGAACCATAGTTCGTACAGAACTTTGGCATCATATTCTCAGCCAATATGAAACTACGATTGTTCCAATGCAATAGTTCAGTGAAACTGTTTCCCTTTGACTGCATGCTGCATTAATTTCTGCCAGAGCCGAGAACTTTCTCTGTCCCTGTTAGTTTCATATAGGTATTTCGGGCTCTGCCGTTCCATGCTTTAACCACATTTTGCTTTTAGACGAGTGTTCCTGGAAATTCAAATGCATGGACATGGACACTACACACTGCCGACTGATTTCGCATTGCGAAGCTACAGTGAGATTAATTATGCTGTTCCCAGAAGTGTTTCAGATATGCTTTTGGTTTCCACATGCTCGCAAAACCTTCTGCTGTAGTTGCAGTCGAAGTGGTGTACCCCTGAACATCATCCACATAGATGGCTGATGGCTGTACAATATAATATCAAGTATGGGAAGCATCACCGATCTATTTATGGTCTCTGCAGTGCCATACAACTGTACAACTGTTTAATGCTCTGCTCATCAATCATTCAATTGATACGGCCGGAAACACCCAAAAAAAAAAAACAAAAAACAAAAAAAAACTATGCCATAACACACGCTCGTAAATCAAGCAGCGGACATTTATGAATCTATAAACAGTAACCCTATATCTTTGTAATACTATCACCATACTACGTATCTTGCTTATCATCTTTATGGCTATGTGAGCTTGAAAAAGTGCACCAGAGTCAACGGACGAACTGCCTCAAACTGGTTACGGTGCTTCAGATCCAGAAAACTCAAAGATAAGAACCAATGCGAAAATAAAACCAAGATAGAACTATATAGAAATTGAATATTGTATAAGAATAGCCACTACATATGTACATACATATATGTGTAGCTACAGATAGAATATATCTACGCAACAACTGTGTAATGGCTACCCAGTGTTGCCTCATGGTCAAACGACGCGACCGTTTCCAATATTTTACGGCAGTCGGGCGGTATCAAAGGAAGATAGATCGTACACACATATATCGTAGATGACACACTGACTCGCACGCTCATATACAATTACGAGTAGCCCATCAGAATCTCAGTTGACTTCTGTTTTGATTGAAATTGAATGCTAAACGTTTTCATCGTTGAATATCTATCAAAATGTATCTGCTCGGCCCGGCCCGGGCCCGGGCCTAACATTTATCAGAGCTACGAGTCGAGTGGCCAGAGATATACAAGTCTATTCATTCGCCCCATGCGGATGTGCGGGCGTGACACACGCCGCATCTCATATGCCGCATGGTTTCGGGCCATATATTTCGTCGCTGTCTGTCCAAAGGTCAAGGTTGCCGCCTCATCATGGCGCCCCGCTATCGGGTATACTCGACTAGAGGTGGGAAGCCCCCTTGCCTATTATGTGCACACAAATTTAATATAAAATAGCAGCACATTGCTTCCAGTTTCACAAATTTTTCGTCGAACTACGACAATGCAGCTACGAGTGGCTCTAAATTCTGGAAATTTCCAATTATACTATATATGCATGTATGATTACAGAGCAACTAGTACTTGGTGCTGAGAAAATGTGATTACAATGCACACACATTGGATGGGTCTTAGCTTGAATTTCAAGCACGTTGTGAAATGCAGAAAAGCATTCTAGATAATTATGATTTCGACCGGATGCCTGCAACGCAGAGAAGCCAACAATTTTGCATTGTTTATTTGAATGTCAGCCTTTACGAAAATTCGTATATTCGTATAGACAAGAAATCGAATACCATATAAAAGTGGCAGAGAAATGGTTGATTTGTTTTAAGAGATAGTTCTACCAAACGGAAGAAATTTCTTTCAGATGATGATCTGGAACAGCTTACCCAGCAGCAAGACATCCTTTCTCCATTAGGTAGCAGGGGCTGGAGCAATTAATGCAATTATCATTGAAGAGAATGAGCCCCCAGAGTACAATATATTCATGGGTTAGCATACAATATTCCGGCATGGGTTTTCTAGGGTACCCATATGTGTAGAGATCTAACCCATTTTTTTTTTATAACATTTTGTTGCATTTTTGTATTGATTTTTGTTGCACTTTTGTGTTGTGTGGTGCTCTTGCGGTGTCGTCTGCTGCCTCTGCTTCCGCATGCCAGAGAGCAGGCAGCAGGCAGAGCGGCGTACCTGTGCGATGGGAAAGTGTACGTTTAGAGGTTTAGATTTTGGTGTGTGTGTGTGTGTGTGTGTGTGTGTGCTTAGGTAGAGCGTGCATCAGCGTCTAATTTACGGTGTCGAGTAGCCTCATCCATGCCACCACCCCCCACTGCCACTGCCACTGCCACTCGACTGTCAACGCATTTTATGCGCACTTGGCTGTGCCACAGGCCGTTATGCAGTACGTACTAGTACGTCGCCGCCCTCAGTAACCGCCCCCTTTTGGCAGTGCAGCTGACATCTTAATAAAATTAAATAGTTTTTGCATTTTAGTTGATTTTATTTTATGGTTTATTTTTGGTTTTCTTTCGATCTCTCACTCTCTCTCAATATGTGTATATATAGATAGATTTTCTCTTTCTTTCGTTTTGTGTATGTTTTTTTGTTGCGTAGTTTATAAAAATTAGAACCTAAGGAAAAAAAATGATACTAACATTAAATATATGCATGTTATTTGTTGTTTAAGTACATTTAGGTATTTATGTATATATGTATTTATGTTATATATGTATATAGATATATTGTATATGTAGCTATATGTATACTGTGTATACAGGTATTTATTATTCACAATTTGGATATATGTAAATCGTTTCTCAAGTCTGTTTTCAGCGATCTGAAACTGCATCCCAAAACGCTTTCACAAAAATATATATATATGTATGTACACTTATGGTCGAAATACTCTTAGAATTCATAGGGTTTTTAAATAGCTTTCGATAAAATAAATTTGTCAGTTTTATCAAAGAATTTGTATGATAATTTTTGATACATTTTCCAGTTGTAGTTTTTTTTTTGGTTTGGTTTTGTTTGGTTGACCACAAGTATATGTGTCCGTATATGTGTATACATATATTGTCAATATTTGCGCTTACAGATTATTATGTAATCTATATATATATGTATATACATCCATATGTGTAAATTTAACGGTACAATAGTAAGTATAATTTCTTTATCGAACATCTGTTGTACTATATTTTTTTTGTGTGTTTGTGTTGTTCTTCGTTATAATGTTTATAATGTTATACAATGCAATTTTGGCAGTTGCAATTTGTTTTGTGTAAATTTAATTTTTATCAAAGCAACACCGCAATGCTTGGGGGAGGGTCTTTTATTTTTTGGGAGGCATCTACTTGTTACCACTACTTGGAAGCCTTGCCACACACAAAAGCATACACGTCCTTACATACATATAATTTAAATATAATTTTAAATTAAATTTGTAGTTATAGTTTTCACTTGTACACCGAATACAAAAAAAAAAAAATGGATTACAATTTATTATTCAGCAAAACAACCGGCGCCAACTATCGCCGACCCACTCATTCGCATCGGCTTTTGAGGGGGTCTATTTTTATTTATTTTTTTCTATCTTTTTTTTGTCTGTCACTGCTGCTGCTGCTGTCTGCTGTCCCTTTGCTTAGTCTGGCGAGGAGGCGGAGCGACGGACACGCATCTTTAGCCGAATGGCGCTGCCAATGCTGCTGCGTCGACGGGAACGTCGACGGTAGGGACTACCTCCGCCTGTTAGCTGTTCAACAGAGCTGCTTGTCGCTTCTCTGTCCAGATCCAGCGTCAACGCCAGCTTTGGCGGCACAACGCTGCCGTGGGAGAAGAATTGATAGTAGCGCCTGAAGCGTCGTCCCAATCGACTGATCATACCGCCCCCTCTCACAGGTACTGTTTCTCCTCCTCCTCCTCCCTCTCCTTCTATGTCTTCTGCTGCTTCTATTTCCTCCCAAACCTGGTTGTCGTTGTTGTTGTTGTTGTTGTTGTTGTGACTGGAGCGACGTACAGCTCTCTCGCTGGCATTGTGGCTGTTGTTGTTGTTGATATTGCTGTTCTGCTGCTGCTTCTGTTGGGCGCGTTCTCAAGAGCGCTTGCCGCTGTCCTTGCGGAAGGATTTGCGCAGCTTGTCAACAAGACGCAAGTGGAATTTGGTATAATCGTTGCTGGCGGTCGCTGTCGCAGTCACATCGTTACCGTTTCCGTTGCTCTGCTGGCGGCTCTGCTGATTCTGACTTTGAGCTGTCGCCGCAGCCTGGCGCTCCAGGGCCGAGGCCGTTTGCGTACGGCTGATGGGGCTGGACCGCGTTGGCGACATAATCAGCATCATGGAGCTGTTCGAGCTCCGCGATGCATTGCGCGGGAAGGCGCGCGAGCTCTGACACCGCTGCATCTGCATGCGGTGTCCACCGCTTCCGCCGCCGCCACCGACCAGCTGGCCGTGTGAGGGGGAGGTGGCGAAACTCTCCGACTTGCATTCGGACACCTTGCGGCGTCGCTGCTGCTGCTGGCTGCCGGTGGCTGTTGTCGGTGTGCCCAGGGCACTGCCCACGGCCGTGGTCCCGTTACTGCTCGCATTCGAGCACTCGGAGGTCTTGCGGGAGCGCGTGTCCTTGTATATATCATAATTGTTCTTCATAACCGGCATCATGAACGCCATTGTTAATGCACTTTCTTCTCACTTTTGATCACGCACGCTCAAAAAATGAATCAAACAGCAAACGAATCGCTTTAGTTTTGTCTTTTGTGGGGTTTAGTTTTGTTTGCCGCCCGCGCTTTGTGTGCCGTTCGAATGCAACGGTTCCGTTGGAAAGCGAATATCCAATGCAGAGAATGGAGAATGTAGAATTTCGAATGACGTTTCGCGCGTTTACCGCTTGCCTGTTGTTTTCGGTTTGAAGCCGTTAGCTTCCCGCCACTGATACTTATACGCTGACCGCCTGGCTAGTGCTAGTGCTCCAAGAGAGCACCCAGAGAGCTGCTGCTCTCTCTCTCACTGTCGCTCTCGATAGGTTGAGAGCGCGCCTGCGCAGTGGAGAGCGGGTCATTTGAGTGCGTGTCAGTGTATCAGAATGCGCGACTATGTGTGTGTGCGTGATTGGGTTGTTTGCTACGTTTATGCGTGGCTCTTACTCGTGATCAGAGACATGGACGAGGACAGCGGAAGTTCAAGACATTGACGTCGGTCCCTTATCACGATGACAGTACCTACCATGCGGCATTAGGCCTGAGCCCTATATGCATGCTAAATAGCTTCAAAATCATGATCGATTGCCAACGTAGCGTCGATAGTCGCTCGATTTCGATAAGATAACGCCAAATACCGTTAAATGTCTATATCCCAAACGAGCGCAGGTCTAAAGCCCAGCTAAACACATACCAACAAAAAAAACCAGGGAAAAACATTTGTTTATATATGATTTTTTGCCACTTTAATGAATATTTCTCAATTAATGTCTGTTTGCTTTGCGTTTTCATTGGATTTTGTTTTGTTTTGTTTTTGCCTGTACGTACATACATATGTACATACATGCATATGTACATAACATACATACAAATGTGTTTATATGTATATGAAATCTTTAAATAATGAATGTGCATATATATTTTTATTAATTCATTAGTTTGGTTTTTTCTCTTACCACCTCGTTGTTTTTTTGTTTTTTGGTTTCTATGAATGCTTAAAGTTTGGTAACAATTTTTCATACATATTTCTTTGCTTATTTAAACGTTCAACTCTCCTTTATTTTCTTGTATTGGTTTTTTTTTTTCAATTTAAATGCATTTTTAACAACATTTTCATCGCTTGTTTTTATTTAATACAAAAAAGTGTATTACAAAAAAAAAGAAATACATATTCAAAAATTTGAGAACAAGATTCGGAAACGGGAAAGAACCTCTGTGTGTGCGAACGGTATACATTTGTTTGTATGTATGCATATCGGTATTTATTTTTATGAATATATGTGTGTGTGTATGGATATGAATTGTCTCCCTACTCGTACGTACTCGTATCTCCTACATATTTCCAGTGCATTTTGTGCTTGACCACTTTTGCTACCCACAACAAAAAAAAAGAAGAGGCTTACTTCTCCCACAACATCGTCGTCTGCATTTGTGTATCCTTATGCCTATAAGATCTCATAATGGGGTCGGTCTCGTCTCGTCTCGTCTCTCGAGGCTGTGGTTGTCACACTGTGTGGCACCGCAGTGAATGCATCATCGTGTGTTTGTGTTGAAATTCTTTCGCTAAACTCGTGTAAAGTTGCCAACATCTTTTGCTAGGTTCTCGCCCTTGTTCTTTTGAACATTTTCAATGCTCTTTATGTATTGTATAATTTACCTATAGCTTCTGGCATTATTTGCATTCCTTTCCTTTCTTTTTTATTTATTTATATTTACTTGCAAATGCTTATTTTAATTGCTTCAATTCAATGAATGTCCGTTGTCCGCTAAGTTCAATCAATTTTTAGGTATTTTAAAGACTAGCTAAGGGGTTTTCCTAATATGTTTGCCATAGATTGAGGGATGGGTTTCTGTTTTTCTTTTGTTGAAGCATATAGTCGGTGAGAGGGCTAATCGTATCATCATCATCATCATATTTTGCGCATAAACCGTTCATGGAGGGCATGCTACAGAACAGTGTTACCTAACCGGTTTCCAACAGCTTTGGCATGCCCCCAAAAACGGAAACCAAACCAAAATGTTGTCTCAAATAGCGTGTGATGTGTGTTGTGTGTCGTGTGTGTGCTGGCAGTTTCGTTGGCTATATATAATATAGAGTAAAGTAAGCCCATATAAATTGTCAAATATTTTGGTGAGATATTCTTTCAAGCAAAAATATATACCATAATCGTAGTAAATCGTCAACATAATCTACAATTGGACTTCTCTATATGTACAACACACCCCTACATGGGAGGGGGAGGGCTAACTAACTAATGCTTCGAAGTTCGAACTCAACTAAATGCTATGAATCAGGCTATAATAAGTATCGTTCGTATGTGTATTGAGACTTTGCTACGACCACGTCGGGACCCATGGGGACAGGGTCAGGAACAGGGTCAGGAACAGGGACAGGAACAGGGACAGGGACAGGACGAGGACAGGGATCTCTAGTATGTAGATATCAAGAGGATTTGTCTGAGCTATTTAACAAACTACACGCACAGCAATACACGTACTTATAGCTATATATATTAATCTGATCCAAGCATTGGATGATTCAACATTTTATCTGGAGATCACATATATGTATATATATAGTAGGTAGTAGTAAAAATTGCCAGCGAAAAAGTTTCTAAGGGAAAATACCAGCCTCAAGATTTGCTATAAAGTGAGTTGTAATTGTTGCTATAAAAAAAAAAAACATATTACCCTATACAATATGTATGTATATATGTTTGTATGGCATGGTGTTATATATCGTAGTACCGAGGCCGAGCAATACATGTGTATATGTAGGTATTCATATAGATTTTAGCTAAATCGAAAGGAAACACTCGTGTGTACTCGTACTCGTACTTTGATCGATCGTCGCGTCGTTCGTCTCTGCTTATAACAACCACACTGCTTGAGGTACATTAAGGATATAGGCCAAGAGGACACGCACACTGCTTAGGCCCTTAGTTTAGTGAGTCGACTTACACATATAGAAAGATTACTGGTGTAGCTACCCTGAAGATCTACCATGAGCCTTGAGCCTTGAGCCATGAGCCATCAACCCATGACTCCAATCTGTATCCAATGCGAGCTAATTGCTCATCTTACTTTCTATCGGGAAATTTTCGATTGCGTGGACTCGATCCGATGTCGCGTCGGGGAAACTCCTCCATTTGGGTCTGTGGATTGGGTAGGACAAAAGTTTGGGGTTAGTTTTGATTGCATCCCCACAGATTGCTGAGTTGCGGAAAATGGAATGTGGAAAGTAATTTCATAATCCATTTGATGCCAAAAAACCTTCGGAAGGTTTGAGCATATCCTTCCAAACTCACCCGTGCTACACCGCTGCTTTTGCTGGCATGCCGCGTTGGGGCAGGCGCCTCCTCGTCCGTATAGACTCTGCAATGGAGGAACAGGATTAAAACAGGATGAACGCCCAATGGCTGGTCGGCGATGGTTGGTTGGTTACCTGGTCTCCGGCTGTGGCTCGGGATCGAGCAGCGGCAGCATGTCCTCACCCTGCTGCAGCAGGTCCACAGATGCCAAGGAGTCGCTGGTCGTTCCAGTGCCCGTGCCCGTTCCCGTGCTGCTGTCCCCGGCGCCCGCTGTGGCCATGGAGGTTTCGCCGCGCTCGGCCTCGTGGCACTCGCACTGGCAGTCCTCCGGCTTCACATAGTTGTAGTGCAGCTTATCGCTGGCTCCTCCAGTGTTCGGATCCTGCGATCCTGATCCCGGCCGCGTCTGGTGGTGGTGATGATGATGATGATGTGGCCCCGAACCGGAACCAGAGCCACCAGACCGATGGCCACTGCCGCACGCCGAGGAGGAGCTTGTTGTGGCCGTGTTACTGGCCGCTATTGTCTCCTTGGGCAGCGTGGTTATCCGCTTGGCCGGCTTGCGCTTCTCCGGGATGTTCTCAAAGTCGATCCAGTGGCCGGACAGCTTTCGCTGTGTGGATGCCTTCGGCTTGGGCTCCTCCAGCCCGATGCCAGGTGGAGCAGAGGCTGGAGTTGGAACCGGATTGGTGGCGGGCATGGGAATGGGAACGGGAACTGGAACTGCACCTGAACCTTGAGCTGGGAGCAACTGTTTGCTGGAGTCCTTGCGCTCCAGATTGTTGGCGCGCAGTCCCTCCTCCGCGAACTCGAACCACGACTTGCCGCTGGCATTGGAGATGCGTCGCGGCGACTTTGAGCTCTGGCCCGGTGCCCGGCCCTCCTTACCCATCGACTCCTTGCGCGGCAGACTGATGCGGAGCTTTTCTCCCCTCAAAGGACCACTACCACCACCAGCCGCTCCTCCTGCGCCTCCTCCTGCTGCAGCCGATGCTCCGTTGTCCAACTCATGGACTCCCACATGCGGTGCCTCCTGGGGCGTCATGATGCCCGTGCAGTACTCCTCCAGGTGCGAGGGATTGAGGGGCGTTGTGGAGCGCGGCCTGTCCACGGGACAGGTCTTCAGCTCCATGTTGGCCCGCTCCTTCATCGGTATCAGCGGCACGCCCTGCGCCCGCTCCTCCGGCAGCGTCGTCGGTATATACGGCAGCTCGTCGTCGAAGGACTCCTGCGACACCAGGCCGGTGCTCTCGTGCTCCTCGATTACGCACACGTTGCGCGGAAAGTGGTGCCGCTTGCCCGGACCCTGCCCCTCCCCGCCCACGGCCACTGCTGTCGTGACCGACGAGCTGCCAGCCATATCGGAGTCACGTTCACTCTCCGACGATTCCACGGGCTCGTGCTCGTCCGTCGACTGCGAGAGACGCCGCTCGGCCAGTGGCGAGGTGAGCATCGGGTCCGGGCTGGCCGTTGGCGTTGGAGTTTCCATTCCCGTTGCCATTCCCGTTTCCATTCCCATTCCCGTTGCAGTTGCAACTCCAATGGGCGTGGCTCTGTCCGTTGGAGTCGGTGTTTTGCCGCCAGCGGGTAAGGGTGTGGGTGTTGGAGTAGTGGGCGTGGCACCGCCAGAGCTCTGCGAGGTTTCACCTGTGGAGAGCAGAGAAACGATTTTAATCGAAAAAGAGTAAAACTTTTTTTTTTTTCTTTTTTTCTTTTTTCTTTTCTTTTCTGCTTTACTCACGTCTTGGCTCGGGGACACTCTGTCGCTTGGGTTTCCGTGGCACTGGGGTACTCTCCTGCTGCTGGGGCTGCTGCTGGGGCTGGTGGTGGTGCTGCTGCCTTCGGCGCACCTCCTTCCCTTCTAGGGGCACATTCTCATGCAGCTTGCGGCGCACATCGAAGTTCTCCAGGTAGCGCGAATGGCGCAGATCCGCCGCCGGGGCCGGGCCCGGACCCTCATCCTCGGAAGTGGGACGCGACCTGTGCTTGGAGCGCAGCACGACTGCCGGATGGTTGCCGCTGCTGCTGCTGGCCGGCTGCTCCTCCTCGGAGCTGGAGATGCCGCGTGGTGGTGGCGGTGGTGGCACGGCGCTCATCTCCGTGCGCCGAATGACAGTGCCTTGCCGCTGCAGTCCGTCGACGGAGGTCGCCGGTCCGTCCGATGCCGTCGAGTTGTTGGCGGACTCGAGCACCTGCTCGGACAGCTGGCTGGACTGGCTCTCCGTCTTCGAGATGCTGAACTGCGTGGAGAAGATCTGCTCCTGGCTGCCGGAGCCGAGTCGCGTGGCGAACAGCAGACGGCGGCGCTCCTTGGCCGCCGCATCCTCGGATTGGGGCGCACTGACGGTGGCCACCGTGTGCACCAGGCGCGGCGGCTCGCAGGCACTCTGCGTGCTGTCCACCGAGGGCAGGCGCTGCATCTCCCCCAGCCCGTTCTCCCGCACTGAAGGGTCCCGCTCCTGCTCGGCCTCCGGCTCGGGCTCGGGCTCCTGGTGGATCTGGGCCAGGTTGGAGGCCCGTGCACTCACCACGGAGCTCACCGATTGCAGTGTCTCCTGCGAGTCCTGCGAGCTGTGCCGCTGCACCTCCAGACTCCAGCCCTTCTCTTTCTCCACCTCCTCCTGGGAGTTGAGCGACTGGATGGCATCCAGGTCTGGACGCTGGGCCACCGTCTTTCGCTGGCCCACAGGTCGCAGGGCAGCGGCGGCCGCCGCCAACTGGCTGGCCGTGATGGTGGCTCCGGATCCGTTGCCGGTTACGGACACGGCGCCACAGGAGGCGGTCGGCGGCTGCTGCGCCTGCGACTGTGCTGCTGGTGGCTGTGGCGGTGTCCTGGCCTGGATGGGCGGCGGAGAGGGCGCTGCAATCAGATTCTGAATGCCCTGCAGCAGGGTGCGGGCCTCGCGCTCTTCTGGCGGCGTATGCAGCGGTATGTGGATGACCCCCTCCACCGGCTCATCGTAGTACCGCAGCCGGCTGCCCGGCCTGGAGCCAGCCGGTGTGCGGCTGCGTCCGCCCGATGATCCGGCCGATCCGGGTGCCGGTGGTGGCGGCGGCGGTGGCTCGCAGCTCGGCTCGATGGGCGAGGAACTCTTGGAGCTCTTGGTGCCATCGGTGCCGGCGCTGCTGCCCCGCTTGCCCGACTTGAAGATGGCCAGCACGGACTTTTGCTTGCTGGGCGTCACATTCTGGGAGGAGCCGGTTGTCGTTGTCGCCACAGGCGCGCCCGCTGAGGAGCGCTCCTTGCTTTTGCTGCGCGCTCGGGCGGACTCTCGCGGCGAGTCCGGCGAGTCCTTGCCCAGCCGGAAGAGGGAGCTGAAGGAGCTCTTGCGGGACACAGAAGTAGCCGCCGGCGAGGGTGAGGGCGAGCGACTGCCCAAGCGCAGGGCATGCCGGCCGGGTTTCGGACTCGCCGTCGGTGTCAGGCGGTTCTCGTCGTGACCGACCCCAGCCCCACCGCCACCGCCACCCCCCTGCAGGCTGAGCGAGGCGGGTGGCTTGGGCTGTCCGGCGGCCAAAGCGGAGGCGGAGTAGACGGGCGTGAGCTGGTTGGGCGCCTCTACCACCCGCTCGTTGGCCGCAATGCCTCTGTCGCTGTACATGTGGTCCGGCCGCAGATTGATGCGGATGTACTCCGTGCCGCTGGGTGTCTTGCCGATGACCATCTGGCCGGGGCTCTTGGTGCTCCTGCGCTGCGCGCCCATGACCGGGACGTTGCTGCCGCTGCTGGTGCGTGTGGCCGGGGCAGGTGGCAGCACCTTGATGCCTTCGGCCAGCACCGCCTGGGTGGGATCGTGCTTGCGGGCCAGCAGCAGCTGCTCCAGCAGCGCTGTATTGGCCGCCACACCTCCGGGCGCTGCACCCGTCACAACGCCGCCACCACCCGGCGCGGTCTCTGCGTGAGTGTGCGAGGAGCTGGCCAGCGTGGAGGCAGTGCTTCCCGCGGCACTGCTGGCACCCTGCTCGAGTGGCTTCGGACCGCAGAAGGAGGTCTCCAGCAGCATGCGATGGGGCGAGGGCGAGCGCGAGACGCAGGAAACGGCGGAGAGGCGGCTCACGGCCGAACCCTGGCTGCCGACGCTCGAGATGCGACTGGTGCGGCCCGAGATGCAGAGCAGAGCGGCCACCTCCGAGCTGGCCGAGTCCTTGCGCTGGTGCTGCTGCAGGTAGCTCTGGTGGTCGTCAAACTTGAAGATGTGCGGCGAGGAGCGCTTCGTGGTCGCCTGTTCGCCACAAAACAGAGAGAAGAGAAGAGAGAGAGAGAGTGGTAAATGAATCAGTGAGAAAGCATTGGCAAAAAAGGAGGAGAAGGACGCGTGGAAAGGAAGAGGCAAACTAGGACACCGCTAAGAAAATCATTGAGCCCCATTTCGTTATTCCGTTATTCCGTGTCAATCGCATTTCTCCAATCTCCGCTCCAAGCCCCCGCGGCTGTCAATCAAAGAGGCAAAAAAAATAATGATAGGTCAGAGCATAGGACAGAGACGGACACAGGAAGCGGTAAAGAGAAGGACAGAGCTGCATTCGATTTTACCCATGCAGGACTTGGACGTGGGACGGGGCTTTGTGGGTGTGACAGTTGGGCGTGGGGCAATGCTGAGTGCAGGGCGGAATTTGTGTCCTTGAGCTATGGGAAAACTGTGTGCAATGGAATCACCTTAAATATGTACACTTGTGTGGCGGTTATCGGTTATCGCTGATCGTGTTATCGATGAACAGCTACAATTTAAATCAAGGCTAAAAACTTGGGTATAAAATCTTTAGACGCGTTTAGAGTTTACTTTCGATAAGTAATTGCCTAAGTATCGACTCAATTCGATAAAAGTTCGATAACCGTATTTTTTTTTTAATTGCAGACAGATAAAATTCGAAAATATGAAATTCTGTGGATTACCACACCCACAACGGGTAAGTACAGAAGAGAATGGCCCTAGAATGCTACAAAAACCACATACATGTCGCGTGCATGACGCCTCACATAGCTGTTTGTCTCGAGTCTGGCTGATAAGGGATTTGTTGCTGTTGTTGTTGGATTGCATTCAAATTCAAAAGGCCTGCCTGCATCCATGGTCCGATGACTTAATTGTAGCCCACAAATATGTGACATTCTATGGGTGTCCTGATTGTACGATTATTGCAACCAATAAAGCCATCAACCAATTGCACAGATAATTATTGAAACATGTTAGCTGTCGAATGATGACTGAACTAATTTCCACAACTGATATGAATGCCAAATTGATTCAATTAAGTCAAAGTCCAACAACAAAATCAACTCGATGAGCGCAACGATTTAAGTGCTCGCATGTTCTGCCTGGAAATCAATGAATGAATGGATAATGATACATATAAGCCAAAGCGGGCAGTGGCACAATATCGAACACTTTAATTAAAACTTTCACAAGTTGGCAAATGGTGCACCTGGCATCTAATTGGCATCGTTTCCATGGACAAATTGGCACTTTTTTCGAGCAAAACTCTTGGCAGCAATTAGGACTGGCCCGTGACTAAACCGTCAATGGGAAACGGGAAACGGGAAACTTCTTAGCAATTAGAGGGGCCGCCCTGCTTGGTCCTGGTTCATCATTCCAAATTGCCAATTGATAACTTTTTGCACAGTTGCCAGAACTTCCAGCGCACGCAGCTGACGGAGAGAGCCTCGCCGTGTCACGAACGACAATGGAAGAAACAGCAACAGCAGAAACAAAACTTTGGCAAACATAAAATTGAAGCGAGAGACAGAGAGATGGAGAGAGAGAGAGGCGTAAAGTGCTGCCCACTTGTCAGCTGTCAGGGCCTTCCTTCCGCTGAAGCTGCCGCTGTTGCTGCCGCTGTTGCTGCCGCTGTTGCTGCCGCTGTTGCTGCCTCTGTTGCTGTTGCTGTTGCGTTTCCCAGGCCCTTGACTGTGCAATATTGCATTATTAATTTAACTTCTGTTGGCGATGCGGTTGCCCTTGCTCCCCAGTTCGTCACTGCCTCTTCAACTATCTCTCGTCCCCGTTAAAGCAATTTCCTTTTTGTCAGTGCTTTCTGCAGCCTCAGTTCCTGTTCCTGTTTAAGGGGAAATGGGGTAGCTGTCCCCCACACAGACGTGGAGTTGAATCAAAGCTCACCTGCTGCTGCTGCTGTTGTTGCTGCTGCTGCTGCTGCAGTTGTTGTTGCTGCTGCTGCTGCTGCTGTTGCTGTTGCATGCGCTCCTGCTCTTCCTTTTTTCTGTTCTGGATCCATGAAGTACAGCTCCTCGGTGGAGCTGCGTAGCTCCAAAGCGCCCTCCTCCCGAAAGCCAAGGCCAATCGTTTCCTGTAGGGTGCCAGTGCCGACCTTCAGAGCATTAGTTCAACCACAAAAACCAGCCAGTACACACACACACACACACATAGATTGAATTTTGGTTTTTGTTTTTTTTCGTTTAAGATTTTTTCGTTTTTGTGGTGATAATGTGGGGGGGGGGGGGGGTTGTGGGTTGTTGTGGGTTGGGGGTTGCATGCAGTTGAGGTGGATCGGGTGGGGCGGTGGATGGGTAGCATACGAAAAGCACACAGAAACAATAGACATCAATCAACAATCAAATATCAACAGCCAATTTGTAATTTGTGTGCAGGATCAGGAGGAAGGTGTAGTAGGGTTTTTTTTTTTTTGGGTTTGGTTTTCACGATTTTTGTTTTTGTTTTTTTTTTTTTTGTTTTTTCGGGCGTTTTGGGGCGTGTGTGTGCATGGGGGAGCGAGCGAGCATCAGAGCGTGTTACAGACAGAGAAAGAGACAGATGTACACACAGATATATATATAGTATTTATTTATGTAGATATCGACAGAGACAGAGCGAATGATAGTGAGATGCGCAAATTAAATATAAAGAAAAAAAGCAGAAAAAAACGTACAAATAATTAGCACAAAATGTTGTACAGTTACTTAACCATAAACGTTTAATGATTAATGGTAATTCCTAAATCACAAGACTCACCTGCTCGAAGACATTCTCGGGACTGCTCTCACGGCTATCCTCCTCGTGATGGGACGAGCTGGAGGCGCGGCTCAGCTCGATCCGTGGCGTTGAGGGTGTGGTCAGGGTGGCCGTGGCACCCCGGTAGCTGGCCTGGGCAATGGGTGGCAGCGGCTGGCCGCCCTCATTGCTGCTGACCAATGTCGTGGTCACCGTTGTCGTGGCCGTCTTCAGTGGTGGCGGCCGCTGCTTAACCACAATCGTCGCCGAGCAGGTGGCCGACGACGATGATGATGATGAGGAGGATGTGGTGGTGCTGCTGCTGCAGGTGACTGCCGGTGCCACAATGCTGGGTGCTTCGCTGGCGCTGCTTCTATTCCTCGTCGTTGCGGTTGTCGCTGTCTGTTTCCGTGCACCTTGCTCCATCATCTGCAACACAGAGAGAGAGAGAGAGAGAGAGAGACACTGTGTTAGGCGGGGGCTTTCCACTTGTACGGCCTGCCAGAGGCAGGCGACTGCATTTTTGCGCAAAACTGATATCAAATGCTTTGACAATGTTTTCTCTTGCATCGGCAAGTCCAAGAGAGCTCTGGGTCTGGTTCTGGGTCTGGTTCTGGGCTCCCTGCGGCGTGTCTCTATGGGTTTTCCGCTTTCCCACATTTGATTTTTAAATGAAGCTTTGTCAGGACCTGGCCTTGTTCGATTGTTTTTTTATTCGTTCGGCTATAATTGGGTTTTGGGTTTTGGGTTTTGGTTTTGGTTTTGGGACTGGCATTGGCTTGCTGTGCTTTGGTTTCGGTTACGGTTTCGCTTCGGGCTAAAAGCAGAACACTGAAACAGCAGGTGGCCTGAATCCCAGTCTCTCAATTTCCCCTTTGTTTAATGTGCACTCGGGATCTATGGGGGGAGGTCGCCCGCTCGGTCGGTCAGTCCGATGGAAAACGGAAATTTTTTTTCCAATTTCAATGAATTTTCAGAGTTCGGTTCGGAGTTTTGCTGCGAGTTTTCCTGACGAACATTAAGGCTCACTTTAGCCAGTATCCCTGTCACTTTCATGAACTTGCTCAAGGATACAACTGCACGCACCATTAAAGGCTTACAAGTAATACCAACTTTAAAGTCTGCACATTCCAGCTCTGCCATCAAATATGCTTTTACCGCAATCCCCCAGGATGCTATCCAGCTTAAAGCTAAAGCTCAGTATCAAGTTATTTCTCCCCAGTACGGGGGGCTGGTGCTCCATTAGCGGGCTTTAGGTTTGCAGGCTCTGAACAAGGCTGTTGATGGATGCGACGCCAACGAGCGCAGGGGCGGTGGCTGGGGTGCGGCGAGGCTAAGTTTACTGGAGCAACAGACTGGGCACGGCACGTTCATGCACGCTGCATGCAACCTATCCAGGGGACCTGCACCCCGCAGCTTCCATGGCATGCATGCTGCACACGCTTTAAAAGCGCTCAAGGAGAAATCCTTTCACACACACGCAGTCACAGAGAGAGAGAGAGGAGAGACGGAGAGCAGTGAGAAGAGAGGACGATGATTGACACATGGCGCCTGAATCGTCGCTGGGAGGCGACAAAAAAAAAAAAACTGTTCATGGCTCTGTCGGGTTGTTGCGGGTGTGTGGTGGTGAAGGGGAGGGTCGTGCTTCCAAGGGGGCTCTCGTAGGGGGGTTCCGTTTATTGTCTCTGCGGGACCTTGGAGCACAAATTAATTTAAAGTTGACTCTCTGTCCCTTTCTCTCTCTCTCTGTCTCTCTGTCTATCGTTTTCTGTGGCAACTATGCAACGATTTCGAAATTGAAGGCAACGCGTGCTGTGGCAAGCAAATAGGTTCGCGTCCTGTTACCCTGCTCCCTCCCCTCCCTTAGTCAACCACTTTATTTTTTTGGTAACGGTGAATGGGTGACTGTGCTTGGAGAGGGGAACGGTACTGGGTTGCCTTTTGTTTTTGTGGTGTACAGAAAAGAAAATACTGCTTTTCTTGCGTTTTTTTTTGTTTTGTTTTTTGATTTTTTGGTTTTTGGTGGAGAAGGCATTGGAGGGGTGGTCGGCTTGGGGGGTGTGTGAGAGGCAGAAAGGAAAACGTGGACATGAATCGTATAGCACGGCAACGAAGAAGGAATAAAGAGAGACAGAGAGAGAGAGAGAGAGAGAGCGAAGAAAGGGAGAGAAAAACGCCTAATTAAATTAATTAAAATTTAAATAAAAAACGACCATGTAAGACAGAAAGAGAGAAGGTATAATAAGAAGAACAAGAATTGGGAGGAGCAAAGAGGAACAGCAGTAGGCGGAGCGGCGTATGGGGACAGACGAAGAGCAGCATACGAGGGGAACATAGAGAGAGAGAGAGAGAGTTCTCAAAGAAGCGGGGGTCGAGAGGAGAAATCAAAGAAAAAGCGAAGAAGAATTGCAGGGCAGAGAGGACGAGAAAGCCGCCTATTGTTTGCCAGCAAGGTGTATGACAAACAAGGTAAGGCCCTCCCAGCGATTGCCTCTCACAATTGTCGCGTAACAGAAGCAGGCAATGACTGGCACAACGGATATGCCTCACCTTGTACAAATACACCTTGGATTGAACAGCGTGCTGTTACCGCTACCTCTGCCGCCACCTCTGCCGCCACCTCTGCCGCCACCTCTGCCGCCGAATTCGCCACCGTCTCAGCCTTTTGTTTACCGTTAATGTACTCACCGCGGACCCAAAAAATATAACTAGATGCCGTTACGCTGCTTCTCTGCTGTTTTTACTCCTCCTTCGCGGGTTCGCGTGTGAGCGCGGGTGTGTGTGTGTGTGAGCGTGTGTTTGAGCGTGTTTGTGTGTGTGTGTGTATTTTGCTTATCGCTTGAACGCTGAACTCTGTCTTATCAATTTTCCATCAATATTATTTTTTTTGGCACTGAACAACAACAAAAAATTAAGAACAAAATTTGTGCCCTCTGCTGCTGCTTTCTTGCTCTGTTTGATTTTCTTCTTAACGCGGACTGCTATCTGGCTATCTTCCTCTGTCTCGCCTCGCCTCGCTCGCTCCCGTTCGCGTTCTCGTTCGCCTCCTAACTCTCGCTCTCTCTCGCTCTCTCTCTCACTCTCTCTCCCTCACTTCACACGCCTGGCTGGGGGCTGGCTCTCTCTCCGTCACGTTTTTACCGTTAGACCGCACGCACGCAGCGTTAGCGTCGTACTGCCGAAAGCCCCGAAATGTATGCTAAACGCTGAATGAGCACAGCGTCGACGGCGACGGCGATTGCGATTGCGACTGCGACTGCTGGCTGCTTCTGCTACTGCTACTGCGGCGTTGCTTCGACAGCGTCGAGGGGCGGAAGCTTCAATTCGAATTCTGCTGCTTTGCTCTGCTCTGCTGTGCTGTGCTGTGCGAAAGCTCGCCCCACAGGCTGCAAAGCTCCCTGGCATCCTGTCAGTGGACTCAGCTGTGTCTACCGTGAAGCTTCAAGAGTCAAGTCCCAGTGGCTGTACAGCGGTGGGCAGCTGAATAGAAGCACTTTGTTAAAAGCTCTTTTCTAATACGAAAGTTGCGCCCTTATTTGAATGTACAATTGCTGCCAGATTCTATTTCTCTTTGCGGGCTTAAAGAGCTCTTACTGCGGCGCTAACCAAAATTTGTACGGCAGGCATATTTGGATCATAATGTATTGGTGCAAAAACTGTGATACACGTGTACGTGAGTGGCTTTTCCTTAGCACAATAGACAGGGCCTTACCGAGTCCTGTTATAGAGCCTTATTATTTGTAATTCACGAGTGATGCCTCAGGAATGCATTCAGGAATGAATTTTAAAGTGTACAGAAGTACAAGTTAATGATTCACTAATAGCTGCAATTGATTAATTGATTTTCATGGAATTTTTAAGTGTATTTTTACTGCAATCTTTGCAAATGGTTTCTAGTCTTCTGCCTGTCACTGTTTTTGAACCTCTCCCTCACAGCTTCCACTCTACCCACTATCTCTCCTTCCCACGAAGCACTGGCTGTACGACGACTCTCCCTTCCCCCTTCCCCCCATTGTACGATGCTTTTGCATGTTTCATTTTTGTGGACTGCTCTGCTCTTTCTCTCTCTTCCCCACTCCCCCACTCCTCTCACACACTCTGACTCTGTGCCTGGTTTCTTTTTTGCTCGCTCTCAGCATTGCCGTTGGGGTGGCGGTGGTGGTGGCGGTCGTGGTCCTCTCGCTAAATGACATTATTTGGAGCACTTCACATTCGAGGCGGATGTGTGCCAAAATATTTTCATACGGCTGCCAAAGCCGTGCCACTTCCTCTGGGCCCACAGTTTGACAGTCTCCGGGAAAGGGGTGGGCCTGGGCGGCGCGTGTCTCAGACAGGGTGTTGGAGGGGGAAGGGCGGTGATGGTTGCTGCCTGGCCTGCTCCGTGTGGTTCGTGTTGTTGCCGTTTAAGGTTCATTTTGTTTATTAGCCAAAAGCGTTTGGTTGCCCTGACTTTTAAGTGGCCATTTGCATGATTTTGGCATACATCCCACATGCCAAGCAGTGCCAACCCGTGCCCAGACATGCCCCCCAGGCCAGAGTACACATTTCCCACGCTCCCTGCCTGCCTTGCCACCCTGCCCCTCTGTCATACATTATGGAAGGCGGAAAGCTTTGGCCAAGCTTTAGCTGATTTTATACTGTGGTTAATTAATTTTAGCTTTGCATAATGTGTGTATGACATGTCGGGGCACACACATGCAATGTGCACGGGGGGAAGGACTGTACAAGAAGGGAAACACTTTTAAAGGGATCCTCTCCCTATCTCTCTCGCTCGCTCTTGTATGGAACAATATATAGGCTAAAGGACACTCACCGCTGCCTGGATGCCCGGCTGCTGTTGCTGCTGCTGCTGTTGCTGCTGTTGCTGCTGTTGCTGCTGTTGCTGCTGTTGCTGCTGCTGCTGCTGTACATTTGTCGTGGCATTGTCCTCAAATGACTTCTCGAACGATGCAATTGGCGCTGGGCCAAGTCGCTTCTGCCGGCGTGCATCCATTCCGTTCCGTTACTGCTGCCCCCAATTCCGTTACTCATTCACACACTGCTGATGATGATGCGGTGGAGGAGGAGGCATGGAAGGGCAGGGCAGGGCAGGGATCCTTCAAATGGTATCAAATCACATATACAGAGAAACGCACACACATTAGAAGGCCATTGGCACGGATTCTCTTTCTTTTCCAACACACCGCACCACACCACACCGCACCCCACCCTCTCTCTTCCTGTTTGACTCTCTCTTTCTCTCTCGTTCTGTCTCTAAAGATCTTTGCAGTGGTGCCTTTTCTCTGCCTCTGGCAACACCAGCAAAAGCCCAACAGAAACTGTTGCAATCACACATCCTTTTGGCTTTTACTGCCCGCATGCCCGCCTGCCTGTCCGCCTGCCTGCTGCCCTCTCTCTCCACGCCATCAATCAATGGGGAATAATTTTTGAAAAATAAACCAAGAAGAAAACTTATATGTTTGCATCGGCAACAAATTACTATTGGGGTGGGGGCCATAGATAGAGAGAGTGTGGAGAGAGTGGGTGAGGCAGAGGGGGGCGCTCTAGAGAGAGGTCAGACATATCGTGTCAATGGTTCATTGAACTATTTGCCTTGCCACACCGCACGCACCGCACCGCACCACACCGGGCCGACAGTGCGAGGCGAGGCGGAAGTGAAATAATAACATCAACAATTGATGAATATTTTAAGGAATTGCGGCAACGGCTCGCGCTTTTCCATCCCGTTCCCCGATGGGGAGGGGGGAGGGGTTGTCAAGTTGTTGTTCAGAATGGTGTAGAGTGGCTAGTACACCCCACACGCCCCCGCTCCCATTTGTTGCATTTGCCTCTAAGGAGGTTATTGGCCTCGGCAAAAGAAACGCCCCACCAACCCCCTGCTAGTACAGTCAATTATCCATAATTTTTCTTTGTGTTGCCATTTTGCTTTGGCTTTCCATACAGCTGGCTGGGACCCGACCCGACCCGACCTCGGCATCCCACATCCGTCATCCAAGCTCTTCAAGTGATTCATTTGCATTAAGGAGGCAAATTGATTATTAATTTGAGCTGGGAACAGCTCATCCATTCTGCCTGGGGTTTGCAGGCAAAACAGAATTATTTGCTTGAAACTATTTGACCTATTTCCCACTTTAGCTAATTATGCATCGGTTTTGTTTTTGCCTGGGTTTTCACTATCCAAAACTCTCCCTGACTAGAAAGGATCCTTTAGCAAGGCACAGCTTTGGGGCCGCACAAGTACATGCTATAATTTCTCTTAAAAATGTTTCATCCGCTCTCAATACCCCAAGTACATCGATTCATCTCCCGAGTTGTTTGCTCCTTTTTTAGCTGCATATACGAGACATTTTTCTTTGCTTACTTTTTGAAGAACAACTGTGTCAAGCAGAAATGATGTGGTCATGCATTGGAATCGGCATGCACTGGTCCCACACCCTTGAGCGGGCCATCACTGCCTGATGACTTCATCGCATCTTCCCCTCATCGAAGCACCATGTCAGAAATGTGCCAAAAGCTGCAGTCCTCTAACTATGTATCTGACATGTTTATAAACCAAACAACTGAAGGCTAGTCCACATGGGGTACCGCAAAAATAACCTCTGCCTGCACACACTCGCACATACATACATATATTTAATGGGGTGTAGAGCTGTCTTCTGGCTTTAGCTTTAACTTGATTTTTCAACACTTCGTAATAATATTTATGGCTATTTTTTTTATATCTGTTAGCTTTAAGGCTGCGCTCAAACTTTGTTCTGGGTGTGTGCGTACGGCGGTTGAGCGGGGTTTGTAAATTTTGGCCCACAAAAAAAAATAAATAAATAAATAAAAAATTGAATTTTGTTAAATTTAAGCAAAGGGTTGAGAGAACTCGTATACAATATTCCCTTTTGCGTGGCACAAATGTGGGTACACAAATGGGAAATACAAAATTGAGCATCCTTGAACAGCGGACACATACATACATACATACACCCTTACACTCTCAGAAGTGTACACACACACAAACACAAGCACACAGTCAATTTTATTGCAGTTGGCTGCCGAAACGCAGCCAAAACTATTTTTATGCCCTAGGAAAAGGTATTATGATTATGAAGAAACTTTTGCAAGGCACACAAGAAGACATTCTGAACGCCTTAGGGTATGTACATAGGTATATGTATATATTCCTGATCAGCAACAACAAAAGAGTCAATCCCATGAGTCATATTTCCAGGTAGTTATTCTTGAGGCCATTTTACTGAACACATAACGAACATTAATTTCATTTGATTCTTCATGATTGAATCCACAACGGATCTCTATATCGTCAGCTGTAGTACATATATGAACGGGCATTCCGTTAGGGTATCAAAAGCTTCGACTCTACAAGCAAAACTTTATTTTTTCGTTTGGGTTTTTGGTTTTTTTGTTTTGTTTATTTTTTTGTTTATTTGGGTGCTTCATGGGAAAAAATTGTATTTCGCAGTTTGTTCTCGTTATTGGGGGCAAGGCTTGACAGGACGAACGGCGATGTAGGGTTGGAGGGTCCTTGCATATGCATATTGATTGCCCGATCTATTGGGAATTTCAAGTTGAAATTAATTTCGTGCAATATTCATCGTCGTGTGTACATACATATGTACATACTCATCTGTGCATACTTAGCCATTCAAAGGGAATTTCTTATTGTTTGTTTAAGTATATCCGCATACATATCAATCGTATGAATCGTTCCGATTCCACTCAAACCACGCACCAATCATTTATTCACTTACCCATTCACCCACTGACTAAATAATCACAGCGACAACCTTGACTTGAGCTTACAAAAGGGTGCGTGGGAGACCGGGTGAGTTTCCATAAATGTACATATGTACATACATATGTATATATGTTTTTAGACTCATGGTATTTATAGTAAAATTTAGCTTTGTCATTGGTGCCACATCCACACCCAACGTTAAGGTAGTTTTTAATAAACTTGTCGGACCACTTTCTCCGGTGCGCCTAAAAGGGTAGTCCCAGGCCAAACTCCTCTAAACAAAAAAAAGCCACACCCCCCCATTTCCGATTAGAGGTGAAGGCAAACGTTTGACCTTCCTTGACGAAAGTCTAATTTTAAAACGTTTACCAGCAATTTTTTATAATTCGCTCAATGAAAACGAATGAACAAATGTCAGTTGAGTGCAGTCAAACGGGTGCACGAATGTTCTTGGGGTTTTTTTAGGGTGAATCGATTCGAAGGATGAC